GCACATAAATCACACACACACTGGCAGCCGGAACCTCGTATCATTCTTACCTTTCCAGACTGTAGCAATTCAAGCTCAAGACGGCGGACTGTACAGACGTGATTGGACTCGATTCGATCCAATAGTTCCTTCATACTTGAAACAAATCCGCCGGCATCGTGATACTGTTGAGACAAGGCGAAAATCAAACTCTTTGCTGCATCTACAAACGGAGAGTCTTGCATCGTGGCAAGATTGGTATCTTTCAGATGTTTTGTACAGAGGTTGGATGTTTGGATTTCTGGTTTTGTTGTGTTTCGCAGCACGGCGTATTCTACTTCTATAAGGTGGTCAGCTTGTACTCACAGGTCCATACCTCATTATCCAGCAGCCATACCGTCTAAGAAGTATTGCGAAATGAACAGTAACGGGTCGTCGTTGAAGTCGATAGGCATAGCGAGTCCTTTGCCTTTTCTGGCAGTCGGGGTAGACGAGGGCTCAGTGAGGCATCGTTGTAGAATGCGCATATAATCTTCATCAGTCACATCGCCAGGCTTCCAAAGGAATTCAACGACTTGCAGATATGCAAACTTGTCCTCGTGCGTCATCCAAGAGCAATAGGATACAGCCTGATTGAATAATTTCGTCAACCAGTTTCCAGCGTCTTGTTCGTGTATCACGAGGGAAAGTGAATATACGACATGCAAAAAGCACAACATGTTCGCCGGGGATTGCACCTTCTGGCCTTGAAAAATGTCCGACATTGTCTCCAAACCAGTCAAGGAAACCGAATTCGCTGGTATACTGCAAAAGCGTGAAACCACATGGTTCTTCCCATCGTGGTTTAACGGCTGTAACTTCTGTAGTGAGCCAGACACATGGAGATTCAATGTTTCTCGCGCTGAATGTATGAGTTCATGAGGGCTAGCCTGTTTCGCAACATGGCGCTTGAGATCCGCAAGAAGATGCTGTGATTGTTGGCTCTCCTTTTGGGGGCCGTCCGGCCGCAAGGTCTCCGCTGGAGAAGGTACAAGAGGGGCGGTGGAAGGCACGCTTGGTTGGTTGGCATCCACGAGATCCAGCACCATTGGGACATCAGCAGGGAGTTCTGTCAAGCCTATGAGGCCAGTCGGTCCGTCCACGGAATGTGAAAAGGTCATGTTCACGTCGTCAACCTCCGGCTGTGGTGGCAAGGGCCGCGAACATGGGAAGACATCGTCCGGGTTTGGCACATCATCTGCAGGAGAAGTCAGGGTCGACTCAAATCCAATACCATTTTCCCAAGCTCCAGACCATCCTGACATGGTAGAAATGGTGCAGCTGGCCATGCTCGATGTGCTGTTCGTGCTGTTCGTGCTGTTCGTGCTCGTCGTGCTACTAGTTGATCTGACTGATGAGCTCGGCTGCAGGTTTCTACTTCGACGTCGTGATCGAGCTCGAGAGAAGTCAAAGGCTGCTCTTGTATTGAGTTGCAGTGCTGGCTTAGAAAATGTATTCGCCGTGTCCGGCTTCGCAAGGTCGACTGGGGAAACAGTCTGAATGGGCGGCGACGAAGACCAATTTATATACTCTTCGTAGTTCACGGGGGACTTGTTCCCGGTCATAGACTCTCGAGAATAAACAGATAGAGGCTGTGTACAAGCGGTATATGCTGAGGACGTGGAGGATGACCGGCTTAAGTAATCTTGTTGGGAAACTTCCCTGTCCTCAGGAATCGGAGCAAGCGTGACCTCACTCGAGTCAATTTCGTGAATCTCATTCGACTGCAGCTCGAATCCTCTATGGGCCTCTGTTGGGCGCTCATCGTGAACAAGTCCATCGTAGCTAGGCGGGTTGTCTTCAATGTCAAGATTCGGAGGCGAAGGAGTGGAAATAGGAGACTTGGGTCTTCCCAAGGATGAAAACACAGACTTTGCCAGTGATATCAACTTCTTTCGTTTCGAAGGATGGCCGAGGCAGCGTCGGCACTTGTTGATCTCATGGAACGTCTCGGCCTGACCACAGTCATAGCACCAGTACTCGCCAAACTCGAGGTGCTTGCAATCATAGAGGTGCTGAAGCAATAGCTCATGGTTGGGGAAACGCTTTCGGCAACGAAGCAAAGGACATTCCCTCCGCTCCTCGGCGGTCATCTTGGGACAAACATTTCGCTTGACTGCAGCCCATACAATGAATCTATGCAGAGCACATTCATCCGACGAAGTGTCACGCGTGCTGAAGATTTCCTTCATCAGTATTTGCTCTTAGCCCTGCGGGGGACTTCTTTTCAGAGGACTGCATGGTGCGGGTTACCCACGTTTCATACACACATGGCGGCTGCCTCTCAGACTCAAAGGACCTGATGGACGATGAAGATGTCGAGGCAGTGGTTGAGCGTCCGAGGCTTAATCGATGGCTTGTAGGGGTACGAGTAAATCTTCGTATGGCAGAAGCCGTAATGCTAATCTCGTCAAATGAAGAACGTTTACTGCTCTCCATGGTGGCAACAGATGCTCAGAAGAACAACGGTCAACCGCACCCAACCGAGGCTTCAAAGTGACGACACCAAAAATAAAAGGGGAAAAGACTCGCTACATGGTCGTAGCCCCAGGTGTTTAACTCACGACCATAGTCCTTCAACCGGGAAAGAGTGAGGCTACAGGAAACCAGGCTGTGGTGACTCTGGTGAGGGTCGTCGACTGGTCCAGGTGCTTGTCCTGGGAGGCCTTCGCCCAGCTCTCGTCGGCATGCATACATATGTAGGACTCCTGCTGCAGAGCCGTAGGACTTGAGCCACAGCCCAATTGAGGGTTTGAGGGACAAGGCCCAGGGACGAACAGATCCCCCATCTGGAGCCAAGCTTGTCAACCTTGATGACGGATGGGCGGGAAAACCCCCCCTCAGCCAATCGAACGATACCCGATTGCGTGGCTGTGAGATCCAGGGTGGCTATCCATTTATTGGCCAGACCCTGGCAGGGGCGTCAGCAACAAAGCAGCAAGGCAGACAGCGTGGTTGACCGGGGCCGCTGTCATGATGCAAGAGAGGTGTGATTGAAAGATTGTCCTACCCCGTCCTCCCAAGGGATTTTTGGGCCGAGTCCACCAGGTTGACGATACGACCGGTATTGAAGTAAGGCACGGAGTAGTTGGACGGATGTTCCTTGACCAAATACGGAGAGATGGCGATGAGGGTTTTCGTGTCGCGCCTCTTTGTCTGCGCCAACCTGGGGATTCAAACTGCGTGCTCGGTAGGAATCAGCCCAATCACCCCGCATTCCCCGAGCAAACGTCAACTCGAAATGCGCGCTCCGTACTCGGTCAAGCATGGTCTTGTCTCCAACGTGGAATCGAGCGGGTCAGCGATGCCGGAATACCGCAGCTTGGATGATCGGTAGGTGGTAGCCGAGGCAGGCAGACAGAAGAGAAGAGAAGAGGCTTCTGCGGGTCTGATGTCCAAACAAGGTTGGGTTGACACCTTCCCATCGTGAACGGCCTTCAACCTGCACCGAGTACATCACATGACATTGATCGTTTGGTCGACAACAACCTTAGCCTACAAACAACACACATTTCCACTACATTCCTTGGGTATTACTGTCTGTATTGAATCTTCGGATGCGTTCCCTGGAACCGGACTGGGCCGAGCCCGTGAGCAACCCTACCCTATAGCAATACGTACATGAATTGCTACTTTGGTCCATCACCGCCAAAATTAGGAGCCCATGGGAGCTGGCAATTATTCTCCATGATTACGCATCCTTGCAAAAGGGAAAAGAAGTAAGTCATCAGAATGTCGTGGGTCCCAGCTCAAGTGAAGGAAGTGAACATTAAATTTATGAGGTACTGGACAATTGTCAATACTACAGGCAGATTTACCTTCTGATGCTACACCAACTATAGACATGAATGCGCGATGGCATCTGAATGGAGCACGAGTTTAATGATGGAAGTGTCTTTGGGACGGATGCGTGGCGCATCTAACGTCTCCCATTGTTCAAAGCAGGGCTCGTCTGAGGGACTTTGGCGTTTCAAGATTAACATTCCGCCCTCCTGTACCGGCGAATGTATCTCGACTCCGGTTTTCAAACTATATCATGCGGTTTCAGCAGGGGGTAGACTTATATTTAAAGCATAACATATTACTACCTAGGTACGGCTGAAATATAGTATTGCTAGAAGTCTTGCATGATCATCTGGCCTTTCTTATTTTTATTTTATTTTATTAAAAAAAAATTAACTTAATAACATATTACTGCGAATATTTCAATTTAGTGCGCCTGAGTCCATATTTGCAAAGTACGTACTGAGCATTTCGAATGCCAACAATAAACGCGAGCCTCTCGCTAAAGGGAAAACTTTGCCCAGAATGCCAGCCACAACATTCTAGACAATGGAATACAGAACAATTGGGTATTAAATGTGAATAGGACTCTGAATACGGATGCGTCATTGTCACGACTGGTAGCTTCGACACCGATAGGTAGGCCGGATTAGTATTTCGGCATGTTGCTTCCATGGCGCTAACTACTGGCATGATTTCATGGGTTGTTAGGATCCAAAGATTCAAGGTCACTCACCCTTGTTGCTGCTTTTCTGGGGATCGCATATTACGACCAACATAAAAGAGTAAACTCACTGGAATTTCGAAAAAAAGCGACGCAACCACTCATCCGCTCGGTATGATAAGAATTCAAGGCGGCGTATCTGGGAGTTGGGCCCGGCAGCTCTGACACGGAGCAACTTGCCTATCTAGGCAATGCCATCGGCATCGGGCCTGACCACGCACTGCCGGAAGGGAGGAACCGCCCATTTCCCCAGATCCAGCGCGCACGAGTTGGAGCTCTCTCAGTGGCCAGTTGCGCTACATGTATTCGGTATTTCGGCAACGCCGCTGGGATGCCTCGGCTCTCCACCATGCCATTCATAAACCCGGGCCTCCGCTCCGATCGCCGCCCATCACCGGCCACCTCCAACTGAAACCTCATCTCCATAAGCTCGCCTCAACTTTTCATTCCTGGAGCGGAGCCCATTGAATCAAAGATGAAGGGCATTCAAGTTAAAGAATACGTCAAGGTACCGCAACCCGCGCACATTATGCACCGGAGGAACCGGCCAACTAACCTGCGGGTTCAAGTCTCCAACAGAGCTCAAGGTGTCTGAACTGCCGGACCCCGTGCCCAAAGATGACGAGTATCTGATCGAGGTCCGCGCCGCTGCGACCAACTTCTTCGATGTCCTCCAGATTGCTGGCAAGTACCAGAACCAGCCACGTATGTATCCCCCCGTTTGCCCAAGACAGGGGTAGCCTCACCGTTTGCTTACTGAGGAGACAGCTTTCCCATGGGTTGCCGGCGCCGAGTTCGCTGGCGTCGTCATTTCCACGCCCAAGGGGTCCGAGAACCCCAGGTTCCCCAAGGGAGCTCGAGTTTTTGGCGCTTCGCAGGGAGCATACGCCACCAAGTGTGTTGCGAAGGAGGCGTCTCTGCTGCCTGTGCCCGAGGGCTGGTCGTTCACCGAGGCGGCCGGCCTGTTCATCACCGCTCCCACCAGCTATGGCGCTTTGGTAGTCCGAGCCAATGTGAAGCAGGGCGACTATGTCTTGGTTCACGCCGCCGCGGGCGGTGTCGGCTTGGCTGCTGTTCAAGGTACGCCGCCCTTGTGTACAAGCCGACGCGTATCAGGACGCAGCATTCGTGGACTAACATTCTTTGCACAGTCGCCAAAGCATTTGGTGCCACAGTCATCGCCACTGCTTCTACGCCCAGAAAACTAGAAGTTGCCAAGTCCTTTGGTGCAGACCACGTGCTCGATTACAAGGACCCCGAGTGGCCTGCCAAAGTCAAGAAGCTGACTCCCAAGGGCCGCGGAGTCGACATTGTCTACGACCCCGTTGGACTGGTGGACAAGTCCACCAAGTGCACCGCGTGGAACGGCCGGATTCTGATTGTTGGCTTCGCCGGCGGCGCCATCGAAAAGGTCGCCATGAACAAGGTTCTCCTCAAGAACATTTCCCTCGTGGGCATCCACTGGGGCGCGTACAGCATCAACGAGAGGGAAACCGTCCCCGTCGTATGGCAGGGCATCACAAAGCTCGTCAAGGAGGGCAAGCTTCGGGGAACGGAATTCACAGACGAGGAGTTTGTCGGATTAGATAGAGTCAAGGATGCGCTGGTCGCGTTGTCGGGGCGTGGGACTTGGGGAAAGGTCGTTGTCAAGGTACCACAGGAAGGCGGTAGCCGGTTGTAAATGTACCAAGCGACGAGCTGTAGATGATGACAAGTGAATGATCGTGACGCACTCCAGGCATCCGTTTGAGCTGTGTCTCGAGCGGCCTCCAGATGCGAACAGTCCACCGGACCCTTCCAGAGTGTATGTAGACATCTTTGCACTGGGAACCCAGTCAGTTTTCGAGAAGAAGAATCATGGTACGGGGAGAAGCTTACTTCTGTCCCCGACTTGCCTCTGTCGAAGAGCACGACACCGCCAAAGATCCTGTCCTCTGCCCAGTAGCCTGCCATGTCTGCCGCGCCGTTTGGATATTTCTCGTGGAATGTGTAACACGCGTGTGAAAATATTGAAGCGAAAGCTGGTAGAGCCTTTCGCATGGTCCATTGTCCTGGCATCCCTCATATGTTTCGTCGGGCTGCGCGCATGTGACGACGCTCTGAATATCTCTTTTGTGTGACTTTTCTTCAACATTAAACAGAAACACAGCTATGGCATGGACTGCAGTGGCAATCGTTTCTATGAGGCGCAAGTCAAATTGACGGCTTCCCGCATCAGCGTTTTGGAATGCTTGCACCGACTGTTCGCCTTGGATTAGCTACGTACCTCTCCTTGAAGCCGTAAGCACTGTGCAATACGTACTGAAGTTTTGAATTGTAGAACAGAAGGGTCAAACTCGTTCCGAAAAGCCCTCGTTCTTTCCAGGGCTCCGTGGCAGAGGGACTCATGGGGTACCAGAGGACTGCCACCCAGGTTCCCCCTCGAGTAACCTTTGCGGTAGACGCCTATTGTCTGTCGGAAGACCATCGATAAGCTGGGCCATTGTGAACTCTGCCAGTTCCGTAGATAAAACATTCGAAAGAGCCCGTGTAAAATGGAATAGTGATTTGGGTCCAATGTGGACACAGACTGTTGAGTTTGTCGTCCTTGGATTTGCCATGTGGCGGAATGGAATCTTGGTAATGAATCTTGGGCCTGTTCGGACGGTGTTGTTGCACGGGCGCAGTATGTTTTCTTGTTAGTTAGGATATACACCTAAACCTTTCTTTGAGGTCTTTTGAGAAATCATGGGCGGATCGAGAGGGATGCCGGCAAATGTAGAAGAAAGAGGTGCCGTTGTCGGTTGTTGGGTGAGCGCTGGCCTCGTCATAACGCGCCAGGCGCTTTGCCTGCATGCAGCTAAGAAGGCGGCCGCCTTGGTTCGTTCCAAGATGGGTATTTGTATTTGACAAAGCTGGGGTTCACGGGCCTGTCTGGCCAGTGCTTCTATGTATAAGCCGACTCTGACCACCACCAGGTCGGGCGCATGGCAACAGATGGTGTGTTTGTAGTGTGTGGTGGACGCAAAGCAGGGCCAACAGCTGCTTCTTACCTGCATCCAGTCGGAAGACATGCGTGTTCGTTGACTGTTGATTCAATGAGTGTAGAGTTGTATCATTTCGTGTCGTGAACCAACATGCGCGACTACTGGCGCGTACAAGTCAAGTTCAATGATGGCATCAGAATGTGTCCATAAGTGTTCAAAGGGTCACAAGGAGTATAAAGTGCGTTATGCGTACCTGTAGGCACCGATTCTCAACGACGCCTTCCCAGGCTACGCCTTTAGCAATCTGCTCATTAATCTCTTGTACCAGAGAACTATTGCTTCTATAAAGTACGCCCATAAAGTGGGAGATACAAGGTATGTAACTGGACCTGAATACCTAAAGATTCTGTTCTATACCATACAATATTGGAGTGTATCGTGGTATATCAGTATATACTTACTCATAAGCCACGAGCATGTCTCATGGTCGCGTGAATCGAACCGCCACGGCCCTGTGGACGACAATGACGAGACAGGAGTCCCTGCCAATCCAGCGGTCGTTTGCCCAGTTGCAGCCTCGACGCAGCTCTAGAGACCTCCAGCTTCCCGAGACTCTCGCTGGGGTTTCTATTCGTGTTCCAGACCACCAAGGCCAGAATTTCGTAGACACAAAGACCGACGATCCCGTCTTCGAGGCCGTTGCTGCCACGGCTCAACTAGGGATCGATATATTGCACAGCTCCACGGGGTTCCGGGGTCTCATGGCCATTGGCAAGCAGACGATTGACGATACCCTTCTCGTGAATCCCAATCAACGCTGCCGAGATGCCAAAAACCTCGAGCAACATGCCAAACACTACCTCAAGCGCATCACGGAAGAATTTCCCGTCCTCCTAGTCTACGATATGCGAGCAGCAACGAATGGAAGAACCAACAAAGGCCTGTGGGAGGTCCCTCGGGACAGGTTGTTTTCTCCTCATCATGCCGCCGCCATTGAGATTCACCGTGCTGTACGTTCTTCCTAGCCAAGCATACGAAGACGCTGATTAACGAATATCCAGCTCGTGGACCGTCTACTAGACGCCAGAATGGCAGTCCTGCTTGACAAGGAGGATCAGCGTGCATGGGATAGATTCTACACACTAGGGTTTAGAATCGGCGCTACCATCGCCCATGAGCTGTGCCACGTGTTTACAAGCTTTCTTCTTTACGATCACACTGTACATACACCACCGGGTGTGACTTACGACAAATGGGGGACCACAGAGGTAGGCGAGTCCGGGCGGTGGTGGGAGTCTTTGACTTTTGGAGGCGCCGTCGACATGCGACAAGGATCTTGGATGGAACGAGTAGGTCTCAAGTTGTCCGGGGGCAGGAGAACCTTTGTCGTCAACCCCCCCTCTTTCAAGGCCATAGCACGCAGAGGTACGTGTAGCTTGCCTTGCTCTACCATGGTGATATACTGACGTCCCATTCGCAGACTTTAGTGTTCTCCCGCTGGCTGATAAAGACTGCAGCACCAAGGGAGCCGAGCCACACATAATAGATACCGACTCTTGGCTGACAAAGTACCGCGACATCTACGGAGCTTACAGCGACAACGACAACAACAACGGCCGGCCCGAGCGGCTCCCCAGACACATCCTTGACCGTGCCATGTCTGGGGCTGGTGAATTTACCAAGCTGTCGGCTGACAGGTTGCGGGACTGGACGCTTGGTGTCAATAAGGGAGTTGGTGGAAAGACCAGCTGGTCTTGCACATTGTAGATGACGGCCTAGACAAGGCGATCTAGATGCCGGGGGAAGGGAGGAACAGCCCGTGCTGGTATTGGAAGGACGGAAGAGGCCCATACACACTTATCGGGTGTCGGACACAGCTGTTTGGATTCAGGCGAGAAGCTACATCATTTAGGTGTTGCGACCAAGTTAAGACATGCAGACCACGTGATAATAACGTCCCCTAAAGGATTAATCTGGCGAAAGAGAAAAGGGTTAGACTCGGTTAATTACATATCTTGAGAAATGGGACTTTCGTTTATACTCTGGCGAACCTTGGACTTTACACGTCGTTTCCAGCACCTTAGTAACTGCATCCACACCCGCGTTTCTAAAATAAAATATATATAAAAGCATATTAATATATGTTAAATTATACTTTTATAAGTGGAAGAATAATTTTTAAAGCAACAAGGATTCTTAGCTGAGGAGAATTTGAGCTTAGTTCGCGCCCTGAGAAAACCTCTCGGCAAAATCCTTGGAAATCGAGTCAAGTTGCGTCTCGGGTGCATCTTCTCGGCGGCTATTCGCACAACTCGGCGTCACCACCCAGGCTGACGAGGACAAGAGGTCGTGGCTATGGAAGTGCCCTACCGTAGTCTTCTATTTGGAATAGAAAGCCGGCACACCAAGTCTTTTTTGTCAAAATCAGGTCGCTCCTTGATTGTAGTATGTACTTTGATTCGAGAAATGTATTCCACCGCAGACTATGTTACCAAGTATACACTAGCATAACGTAGTATGTAGCAAAACATTTGAAGGCTCTTGGAGCTTCTAGTGACGACAGTCTCATCCTACTATGCACTACTGCAGAGCACCGAGACGGCACCTACCGACTCACACAAAAGAAAAGAAGAGAAACAACAATGTACAAACGCAAGTCCATACTGCCTATCAGTCCCAGCCGAAACAACACCATGCCTCACCAGCCCCAACACGGCCCCAAGCACAATGGCAAGCGCGGCGGGGACCCCAAAATGCCTGCCGCCTACATACGCCGTAGCCGCGACCACCACCCACCACGGGTCGTCACCGAGGCTCTTCCCCGACTGGAACCCTCCATCGATATAACCCACCTGCCATATCCGATACACGGCCGTGTAGATCAGCCCAACGGCGCCGGCATTCACGCCCCTCAGCGCGGATTTCACCCACGGCCTGCTCCGCAAGGCGCTCCAGACGCCCATGGTCCCGTGCACAAGGATAATGCCGGGGAGAAATATCCCCAGGAAGCCGAGTGTGGCGCCCGCCACGGGAGAATGCTCGCTGTTGATGGCGGCCAGACTACCCAAGAAGACGGCAAAGTTAAAGTTTGGCCCCGGAAAGGCCTGGGTGATGGCGAGACCGATGAGAAAGTCGCGGGGACTGACCCATCCCTCGGCGACGACGTATTCTCTCAGCAGGGGGATGACGACTGGTCCTCCGCCAAAGATGATGGTCCCCGCGAGGTACAAGTTTGCGAATAGCTTGAGGAGCATGGGCGGACTGCGCAAGACACCGCGGAGGACCGTGACGGCGGCCAAGGTGAGGAGGAATGCCGTGATGATTGCCGTCCCGACCTTCCAGGAGAAGTCGAGGCGGTATTCTCGCGGGACGGTGCGAGGCTCAGGGTCCTCCGCCGGCGGGACGTCGTGCTCGCCGGCAACGCCGCCGTCTTCACCGGCGACGCGTCCCCTCAGCCTCGCCCACAAGCCCTTCACGCTGCGGACCGGCCGGTGAAGCCAGCGGTGGTCGTGTGCGACGGTGGCGCAGCCCGACAGTACCACGAGGACGGGCAGGTACCACGGCGCGTTGTACAGCATTCCCGCCGTGGCCGCCAGGAAGACCAGTGTCCGGGTGAGTCGGTCGGTGATGGCCTTGCCGGAGAGCTCGGCCGCCGCCAGTGCAATGACGCCGACCGTGGCGGCATTGAGGCCCGACAGGAGCGCGTATGCCGCCCGCGGTAGAGTATCCTGGACGTTGGAGACGCCGATGGACAGGCCAAACATGCCCAGCGCGCCGGGCAGGCTTTGTGGCGAGGCGCAACTTAGTCTCCTCTCGAGTCTCTGCCGTGTGTCCCGGCCAACGACGAAAGACTCACCTCCACATCAGAAATGCCAGGACGGCGGCGAGCAGGCCCCCGTGGATAAGGTTGATGCAATAGAGCATCTTGGTGCTTGCGGGACCGCATAATGCCTGCGAGATGCTAAACAGCTCTTGATACTGTCATGTACGGTCAAATTTCTCGTTCGACCAGCCACTCGGGGGGGGGGGGGGGGGGTTGGGGGAGTGGG